TATATATATATATATATAGAGTCATTTTTTCTATTATAAATGTCGATGTGCTGACTTCCTGTACTTTCTGTCGCTTACAGGTTTGTTTTCTTCCTGGATCCCTGTAACATCGACATTGTTCAAAGGAAAATCAAGTCGATGGCTCTTTGTGTGTCTCTGTGTCCCACAGAGGAGCTGAAGACCTACCAGGACCTGAAGAGGTTCGCTATGGTCAATGGTGAGGGCATAAATGTCACACGACTCCTTGCACACTTGAATAGGTGTCTGGATATCCAGATATATTTTTACACGTCTGAGCTGAGGGACAAAGAGGCTTTGTTCTAGGCTTTAGAGGCAGGAGAGGGTGTTGATGGGAAATGTATTTGAATCTGTGTCTTTATTTGTTCAGCAAGGTCAAACGTTTAAAGCAGGTAAAGTTTTTGAGGTATAAACAGATTATATGTCAAAGATGAAAACAGGTGAAGCTGGCCGGGGTGATGTGTTGGAGGTGAAAACTGAAAGGTGACGATTGTGCTGAGATCAAGTGTGCAGAATATAAAAAAATAAAAGCAGGTAACTTAATAAATATGAAGATAATGGAAGCAATAAAAATAGAAGGAATTAAAGTGTAAAGAAGCTGATGTGTTTGAGGTGATAGCAGGTGATGTTTTTTTAATAGGATTTATTTTCATTTTTCAATAAAAAAACAAAACAAAAGCTGTTACAGAACATTTATGGCACATAGTAAATATCTGCAACTCGTTACAGTACGGTAAGTTATTGTGACTATAGGAACACACTTAAGTGTATATTCTTGTATCCATGCCATTCAAGGGTCATTTCAAACATCTGAAAACCCAACACATGAAGTAATAACAATATTCGTGATTACAAGAAACAATTAGGATAATACAGTATGTGGGAGAAAAAAGAACAAAACAAAAAGTAGAGAACACGTTATACAACCCCCCCCTAGCAGATGATATGTTGAGGTTGAATAATATAATAAAGTTTGAAAGAAGTATGCAAAGTGTTAAACAGGACAGCCGATGAAGTATTGAAGCTTAAAGCAGGTGAACCATTAAAGATAGAAGTAGGTAAACAGCTGGAGGTGAAAACAAGTGATGTCTTGAAGTTGTGACGACGCTTAGGCACTAGATGTCCCTGTTTTGGTTTTGGTTTTGTGGTCTTGTCTGATTTGGAGAGTAATTAGCTGTGAGAGTTGGGCCCAGTGAAACACTCCCTCCTGCCTGCACTTGCATTGCTCCTTGTACTGGATTGGATTTGAAACCAACCTTCTAAACTGGACCAGTTCAGCTGCATCATGTTTTCTTGTGTTATTTTTTGCTTTGCACACATTCTGCTGCATGCATGTGCAAGCTTTACACTTCTGACAAAGGCATTCTCTCTAATGAATTTTTTTTTTTAATAATCATTTTCCAGCATGCAAAGTGTTAAAGATGTAACGGGTGATCTGCTGAAGGTGAAAACATACAATGTGCTGAATCTGAAAGCAGGTGTTAAATATGAAGGGTGGGTGATGCGTTGGAGGCGAAAAGCAGGTGGAGTGCTGGAAGTGGCAGGGGATTGGAGGGTGCACTGTGTGACTCGATGTTCTCACAAAGACCGAAGTACGAACATGTTGCTGGTTTTAAAGGAAGCAGTGATGTCAGCACTTGGCCGACCGCGCGCCATCGCGTCACCGTGATGATTGAATGTCTGCAGACCGGACACACCAACAGTATACTGAACTTACAGTACAGTAACAAAGGCAGCATTAATGCGTGTCGTGTAATTGGTGCCACTCTGCTCTGCTTCTCCTCCATCATGGCTGCTCTGTGACTCAGAGCCTTCACTGTTCACTTGAGACACAAACGTGTTGAAACATGACGGCAGACCCTCGGTCAGGTGACCTCACAGCTCCTCCGGCAGTCGTTTATAAAGGATCCACTGTCACAGATTCACACAGAGGAACTAGTTTATCTGCTACACCTGAGCAGCCTGTCACAGAGGCCCAGCTCCAGCACGCTCACTCAGTTTGTTCATACAAGCGGAAATATTCATATCTGTGTTTCAGATTAAACTTTCAAAATAAAAATCAAATCAAGTTCACAGTCAGGAATGATACAAACTGGGCATATTAGTCAAATGACTGGGCATATTGGGGACTAGTTTCTTTTGGAGCTGTTTGCACTGGATGGTGTTTTTTTCCCCTCTTCAGCCACGCGTTCCCATGGGTTTTTTAAAGGATTTGCACACAAGACATTTTAATGACTGCAGTCATCTGAGCTTTGCATGTTTCTTTTGTTCGAGTTCTTCCCTCATAAGAATGGTGCATTTGGGTGGTGATTATGTATGGCAGCAAGCATGATCACTGTGAAGAGCAGAGGTAGTGATACCTTTTTGATACAAATATGTGCAATTTTCTGCAATATGTCTATGTTGCACCAATAAATAAAGCCCAAGTAACTAACTGGTTTAAAAATAGTATCATACCTCTAGAGTATATCAGTATAGTATATCCATGTACACTTCAGAGTCCATCAGTAACCAGCAGTGGCCTAGTGTCACTGGAAGCTAAACTGGTCCATGCATCACACTTTCTGGACTGCACACTGTATGGATGTGGTTTGCTTCAGATCCTGAGCTGTTCAATGCCTTCTCCACCTATTTTCCCTCCATCATTACTCTACATGTTTATTTTAGTTTTGTCTGTTTGCTGTTTCAGAGCTATAGGTTTTGCGGCTTGTGCTGAACCCACTGGAGTTTCTCTCTGAAGTTGTGTCTTTATGGTAAACTTGAGCAACAATATGTTTACCTCCTGGAAAGTGTTCTTTTTTTCTTGACCATGGAAAGGATCCTATGATCATCCTCCACTGTTGTCTTCTGTGGACGTGCAGACCTTTTAGTGCTGCTGGGCCCAACATTGTGTTCGAGTTTTCTTCTGAATGTACCAAACTATCGATCTATCCTTGCCTAGTGTCACAGGTCGTGGGAACAGTGAAGGATTTGTATTGTGTTTAGGGAAGTTCAACTGGCTGCATGCTGTGGGTTCACACAAGCAGCTGCCAATTGCAGATGGACCTGGACTCATCTATCAACCTTTTAGCTGTTTAATTTATGATGAATTAATGAAACTGTGTACCACAGGTTACATTTGGCCCCTGGAAGTTGTCTATGTAGTACAGACCTATAATTCCTAAACTTTTCCTCCAGATGTCAAGGCCAGAGGGCCAACACGAGGAAATGGACTTGAATGCAGACCGCACTTGGAGTCAGGGACTGTGAGCAAAATAGACTTTTATTACAAACGTGAACTGAGGCACAAAGTGTACAGAAATGCAAGGAGCGATAGCAAGTATACCATAAACTTAGGGCAAGTGACAAAGCAAACTAGGAAGCTACTACTCAAATAATTCTTTGACACATTATGAACAGGAGTAATACTATGATGTACTAGTTCCCTGAACTGTACTATAATCACGTGAAGTATACTATGAAGCAAAGAAACAACACTATAAAAGTTACACGATTACAAAAACACTGAAACGAGTGGTTAGTAAATCACTACGTGAACTGTGACATGGTCCGTGAGGGAGCCTTGGGGCTGTTGCGGACGAGGGCTGGGGACCCAACACTGGGTAACATCCAGTGCAGGACCCATGGGGTGTGGGACAGAGGGAAAGGGTGTGGCGTAATTCTCAGAGTCACTGAAACAAGGGAAACAAGTGTTAGAAGGGATGCCAGATGCGGATCCAAGGCGTAGGTTGCAAATTGCAAACAGTCTTACTTTTCACAGGCGGAGGCGAAGCATAGAGGGGTTGGTGCGGATGGGGTGTAGAGGTACTCCGATGAGTAAATCCGTTAATGTCAGAGCGCTGGACAGGAAGGCAGGCAGGTGAATGTAAGTGGAGAAGCTGTGTGCTGACCAGTGACTGAACCAAGACGGGTTATGGCAGTGAGTTTCAGCAACATCCAGAGGTTTTCTGTGAGCAGAAGGTACAAGGTCAATACAAGAATAACTATGGCAAGATACTGTCACTGTGGCGGCTTGACTAACGAGGCTTAGCAGACGATCTGGTGGAGAGTGAATATGAGCACTGATTTCAAGAAGCCAGCAGCCCAGATTACACTCAGGTGCAGCCTGTCAGCGGTGATGCGGCGGATACGCTCAGAGTTGGAAACGCCGGCACTGTGGAAAAACCCAGCGCTCACCCCGACCATCAGCTTGGATGTGAAAACCATGAAAGTCTGCATGTTAAGATCATACTGATTCTATAACTTGAGGACTAGAATACCAATATTTTGAATATCAAAAAACCCAAATTTAGCAGAACAGCTTATAGTTGAACAGTGGTGCCTTTTTGTACTTTTAGTGACTTGATCCCATAAGTACATCTACTAAAAATCTTGGATGAGTATCAATATTGGTGACCTTGACCTCAAGGTTAAGGTCAAAGGTCAGGTTTACTAAAAATCTTGTGAATGCAATAGGTGTATTTACACAGGAAGAATATAATATAGGCTTCTCATACTAATAATAACTTAACTGACAATCTCTGACACTTTGCAATTTGACAATCTTGATCCAATTCATGCATTTTTGTTTTGCAGGTTTCTCAATGACGCAGAAAGCAATATGTAGTTAAAATGGTGTCAGTGTTTCAGTGTTTTGACACAATGACATTCAAAGCTTTTTCCCAGTTTACATTCAGTGAATTTTCATAATGATAATCACGCTTCTGGATGTTCAGGCCAGGGCACAATTTGATTGCAAAAATGTTAAAAGATGTTAATGTTGTTTCAACATTATACAATAAGCATAGAACAACTTTTAACCTTGTTAAAATGTAAAAGTGGGATTGTGCCACCTAAAGATTCAACTGCCAGGAGGCTGAGGCGCTGGCACCTGCCAGTATTTTATAAAGTTTATTTTACTGAGTGCTTTGAGTGCTCAGTGAGAGTAGAAAAGCGCTATATAAGAGCCAGTCCATTTACCATTTATCTGAATTGTCCTGTGAAGGACTTTGTTCTGAAAAACAGTTTATAAATAAAGATTATTATTATGTTTTATTGTTTTTAAAATGGTTAAGCCAGTAAAAACCTATTTCAGGAACTGTTTGATTTACTGAAACAGATGTGCTTCCATTAGGTCATGCATATTGTCTGCAAACATCATCTGATGCTGTTGGCATAAACAAAATAATATTATCAACATATAGGGATAGTTGATGGTCAGTGTGTCCTGTTGTTAACCCATAGATTTGTGGGTATGATTGTACAGTTACTGCAAAAGTGGAATTGCTAGTGTAAACAGCAGCGGTAGCGGAGGACCATCCCAGTGAGACTTTAAAGAACTAGGATCATTAAACCTTGTCAAAGACCTTCTCTGCATCTAAAGGGCCGTATTAGAAGTTATTTTATTATTATTTAAAATATGATGGTGTTTTTTTTTTCTTTCAGGTTCTGAGCTGTGCTCCTATGAGTTAGCAGCTCATAGATATCCTGTTCTCGAACAGAGGACCACTAAATGCCCCAAACTACCTGTTCCACCCAGGTATGTAGCAGCTTTTCACCCCAAAGTCGCTTGCTTTTTTGCTTTTTCTGTGACCTCTGACCTCTGTCTTCCATTCTCAGTAAACCGCTGCCCGTGTTTAATCGCTGCACTCCGGTGGACATCTCCTGCTACGCAAGGTTTGCTGAGGCTGTGGTGACGTTTGTCGGGGATAACAGTGTTCTGCACCGACTGATCGCTGGCGTCGCTGCCAGTAAAGAGATCATCATCGGACTTTGTGTCCTCGCACTGTGTGAGAACAAGCATCAACCTCTAAGACGAAAATCTAATTCTCATATGGAAGTACCAAAAACTGCAGTTCTTCTAATGGCCACTTGAGACTCTAACATCACTTTTTTTTGCCTGTCTTTTTCAGTCCTCTCCATGATCCTCATGGTGATCATTCGTTACATCTCTGCTGTCCTCGTCTGGATCCTCACCTCACTGGTTGTCCTTGGATCCCTTGGTGAGATCACTTCCTGTCTGTTTGTTGCATTAAAAGATGTAAACAGATGAAATGTGTCTGAAATCAGGGCTCTGCTTTTTGTGTCTAAGCGGGGACTAGTGTGCTCTGGTGGCTCTACATTGACTACCGGCTATACGGGAACGACACTTCCTCTAAAGTACTGAAGGAAGCGAAAGAGGAGGTGGAGGTCACCAGAGATAGCGGACAGGCACTACTTGTCTATGCCGTTGCTGCCACTGTATTCACTGTATGTACTCGACATCAAACAGAGCATAGAAAGTGTGATCGATTGGTGTTTTAAACCCGAGACTGACTGTGTGTTTTGTCTCCAGATCATCCTTCTGCTGCTGATGCTCTTCATGAGGAAACGAGTAGCTCTGACCATCGCTCTGTTCCACGTAGCAGGAAAAGTCTTCATACACCTCCCCCTCCTCACCCTGCAGCCCTTTGTCACCTTCTTTGCCCTCCTGCTCTTTTGGATCTACTGGATCCTGGTCCTTCTCTTCTTGGGAACCACCGGTCAGTTGCAGCAGTCAAAGAGAAAAGCTGACATCATAAACACAGAGCTGTCCCTCTGATGTGCTCATTTCTAATCCTATCTCTCCTGGTTACTCCCAGTGAACATCTTAACACCTTCAACTCTGCTACTGCTACCTTGGCCTCCTGTCTTCAGTTTAAACTACAATGCTGTTAGATATTCGTCTTTGTTTTGCTAATAAGTCAAACAGCTGGTACATATTTGGTTGAAACCCCCCCAATCACATACACATGTTCACATGTCCAGTTTCTCTCTGTCCTTGTTGTACCTTTTGGTTGTAGTGACTCATTCGTAAATCGTTTATCCTATAAATTATGCTTGAACCAATTTGGGCAGATCGCGGTACCCGAAACTGTCTCTGTGGATTTATGTTTCTGTTGAATGTTGAATGTAAAGTAGCAGATTTCATTTAGTTTTAGTCATCAAATTATTCTTTCTCTCTTTGCTCTGTGTGGTCGTGCAGGTAACCCCGTACAGAACGAGGAGACGGGGCTGACGGAGTTCAGACTGACCGGTCCTCTTCAGTACTTGACCTGGTACCATGCTGTGGGCCTGGTCTGGATCAGTGAGTTCATCCTGGCCTGTCAGCAGATGACTGTGGCCGGTGCTGTGGTCACGTACTATTTCACAAGGTGAGTCCATACTACACTTTACATACCTTTTTCATACTTGATATTTCACTGGAGAATTTGGTATATGATGGTATTTAAATAGAAAAGACAGCTTCTTTTCACCTGAGACACTGACTGTAATCGATGTAGTAAAGCAACATGGTGGAAAGTGGATAAAATCAGCTTGGATACTTTTAAGAAAATGAACAGCTGGTCTGTAGGTATTTGGACAATGACAGCAGGATCATGTGTCTCTCTTTATCCATACCTTTCTTTAGCAATCGTTCTGGTATAAATTTATCTGTGCAGGCTCATTAGCTGTTTTGTCATAAAGTCTAATCTAAGATAAGATGACCTTTATTAGTCCCACACGTGGGAAATTTGTTTTGTTACAAAGTGGACAGTGCAAAGTTACATAACAAAAATTTGAAAAACACTGGAATAAGATAAGAATAAGATACTGTACACAACTGTACACAATAGAATAGCATAAAATAAAATACTTTAAATAATAGAATAAAATAGAATACAAATGCTATATACAACTGAGTATAATACAACGATGCCAGAAAAGAGTATTGCACTTAGTATTATTGCTTTTGCACATGTGTGGATGTGTGTGTTTGGTCAGTTGGAGTCTTTGTTGTACAGTCTGACAGCAGTGGGGAGGAAAGACCTGCCCACACCGTGGGTGCCGCAGCCACTGAAGGAGCTGCTCAGTGCTCTCAGAGTCTCCTGCATGTGATGGGAGATGTTGTCCAACAGGGATGACAGCTTAGCCACCATTCTCCTGTCACTCACCACCTCCACTTGTCAAGAGGGCATCCTAGAACAGAGCTGGCCCTCCTGTTCAGTCTCTTCCTGTCCCCAGCTGAGATGCTGCCACCCCTGCAGACCACACCATAAAAGATGGCTGAGGCCAACCCAGAGTCATAGAAGCGCTTCAGTAGTGGGCCCTTCACTCCAAACGACCTAAGTCTCCGCAGCAGCTACAGTCTGCTCTGCCCTTTTCTGTAGAGGGCGTCTGAATTATGAGTCCAGTCCAGTTTATTGTTCAGATGAACACCAAGGTACCTGTAGCTGTCCAGAGTCTCAATGTCCATACCTTGAATGTTTAGTGGTTGCAGTGGAGGATGTTTGTGCCTGCAGACGTCTACCACCAGCTCCTTGGTTTTACTAGTGTTGATCTGGAGGTAGTTCTGCTGGCTAATCTGGTCCTCTTGTTGGTTGTAAGCAGTGGGTTGCAGCTTGGTTACAAGAAGCTACAAAAAGATAATATTTTTGAAGGTTTCTCTTGATTGTAGACATTGGCCGTGATACTTCTAGAGAGTGCGCTTCAGTCATATCGTAATTGTTTGAAGTAAAGTACACTGTGGAGGTGTACAGAGTCAAAATTACAAAAAAAATTATTATGCTTGTTTTATCTTAAGATATTAAAATCATACTGTCTGTATTTCTAGTCACTCTGGTATACAATGACAGCATAATACTGCATCTTTTTAGCCTGCCTTTTTAAACTCTGGATTTCCGAGTGGATTCTCCACATGTGTACCCCCTCGTTTCAGGAAACATAAAGGTTCTTCTAAATGTCTCATGGCAGGAAAGACTCTTAACCAGGACTTTGTGTTTCAGGGACAAGAACCGACTCCCAGTGACTCCAATCCTGTCCTCAGTCCTGAGGCTGGTCCGGTACCACCTGGGCACAGTTGCAAAAGGATCCTTCATCATCACACTGGTCAAGATCCCACGACTCATCCTCATGTACATCCATAATCAGCTCAAAGGAAAGGTACAAAAAGTTTATTTACTAGACTGTTAAGATAAGATAAACCTTTATTAGTCCCACATCTAGGAAATTTTTTGTGTCACAGCAGAAAGTGGACAGTGCAAAGTTACAGCAGCAAAAATTAAGAAAAACAATGGAATAGAATAAGATAAAAGAATAACATACTATATAAAAATAGAATAAAATGCTATAACTAGCGCAAAGCAGTAGTGCATGATGGCAGAATATAATTGCTAAGACTTAAGTTAGAAAGTTACAAGAAGAGAGGAAAGAGGAAATAAGAAAAAAGCTCAGAAATGAGCAGAGCTGCCGTAACAGGCTGCCACACGCCAGAAGCCTTTAAAGAAAATCCAACGCTGAAGAAATTAGTTTTCACTTTTACTAAACATGAAGTAATAAAGCAATAAGATGCAAACAAAATACCTAAAATCAAAGTTTTATTTATTCAAATAAATAATTTTTAAAGAGGACAGTGCTTAGTGTAAACTGAATATATACCAACCAAGTAAATGTTATTTCACCAGATCCCATTAAATTGATTTTATGTAACAATTAGTTAAAAAAAGCATTTTGGCAGATCTTCTCTTTTTCTGTATGCCCTCTTGAAACTCCTGATGAATCCTGAGATGTGCATAGGTTTATGGATTTTATTTCTCAGTAGGGAACCTTACCATGACACTGTCACTTACAAGAACAATGTGAGCCTGTCAGTGGCGAACACACTGTTGCTAAGATTACATGGAAGTGATTCATTGAACAGTTTCACCAATTATGATCAATCTGGAAAAAAAACATCAGAAGAATGACTTGATGTCCTTTAAAGGTTTGGTAACAATACGAAGGGCATCTGTCTGTATGCTGATGATGTTTTGGTGTTCAAACAGAAGTCTCCTCGTCACTACAACAACATTTCTGTTGCATTAACAACTCGTTCATCCTTTTTAAAAATGATTACATGTACAGTGTGTTGTATGTGACATGTAAACATAAATACATTTTATGTATAACCTGATATTATCTGTTGTTTATCAGGAGAATGCGTGCGCTCGCTGTATGCTGAAAACTTGTATCTGTTGTCTGTGGTGTTTGGAGAAGTGCCTCAACTATCTCAATCAGGTAATACTCCACCCTCTTCTCTTCTCTTCTCTTCATTGATATGATCATCTCACCATGTCTGGTTTTATTTCCCAGAATGCATATGCAGCCACAGCCATCAACAGCACCAGTTTCTGCACGTCTGCACGTGATGCCTTCGTGATCCTGGTAGAAAACGCGCTGCGAGTCGCCACAATAAACGCCATTGGAGACTTTGTGCTCTTCCTGGGGAAGGTGAGGCGGGAGCTTGATTTTTCATTTTTCCTGCCAGTTTGTGCTGCTTTGGAGGAAGGATCTTCACTTTGAGTGTGATCACCTAACTGGATGTTGCTGTAAGAGAGCTTCGAGTGCTCAGCTACAGCAGAAAAGCACTATATAAGAACCAGTCCATTTTCCATTTACAGTTCTGTGGGATTAAGTTCAGAATTTCCAAAACATTGACTTTAAACACTTTTACTGGTCCCGTGAAATGAGATTTGATGCCATGCCTAAATTTTTTTTCTATACTATACGTATACGCCAGTATAGGTGGGGAAAGGAGCTATTAGCTAGCCAGATCCAGAAACAGTGCTATTATGTTCGTCTTCCTTCCTTTTCTTTGCATTTGTTTTTTAGCTGTAAAATCTAGTGGCAGGGAGGGCTTTCATCTTGGCTTTTGTCCACCATTCTCCTGTCACTCACAGAAAGATAAATTTCTAGCTTACAAACACCCCAGCAGAGCTGGAGCTGATGTTGACTTGTAGGTTACCTGTCTAAGGTGTTCTCGGGAGCTCTGTTGCTTTTTGTCTTTAGTAGAAAAAAAGTAGCTAGTGAACTTTGAAGCATCACGGCATATGGACAGTGGATTTCAGTTTTTCTTTTCCCACCTGTCATCAGTTTATTTGAATATATCTCCTCAGATCCTGATTGTGACGACGACGGCGTTCGCTGGAGTCCTCCTCCTGAACTACCAGCGGGATTACGCAGAGTGGCTGCTGCCGCTCATCATCGTGTGTCTTTTCTCCTTCCTGGTGGCCCACTGCTTCCTGTCCATCTTTGAGATTGTGGTGGACGTCCTCTTCCTCTGCTTCGCCATTGATACAAAGTACAACGACGGCACTCCAGGGAAGGAGTTCTTCATGGACAAAGCTCTGATGGTGAGATCTTTCGTCTGTCTCCCTCAGAGCTCGGTGAATTTACTAAAAGGACTGATATGGTAACATTCAACTCTGAAAATATGTTAGTGTAATGATGACCTGCAGCAATGTTCCCTCTATGCTGCGCGCATGCGCAATTGCGCACTGCTGGCACGGTCTCTGCGCACAGAAAATCTGCATTGCGTTAAAACTTTAACAATTCTGTTTTGCAGTGTTAGTCAGTAAGTGACTGGCTGCTGGGATTAGAACGATGCCACCTTATCCCATAGTCCAGCCAATAATGCGATTC